TTGAATGCTGTTACTAATTTAATATTTGTGCTCAGGCATCTTGTATTTTGAGGTTTGTCGTAGAAATAAAATGAACATATGAAACAAAACTTAGCAGTTATCCTGCACATGCATACTTGCGTTGAAACGCTTATTTCTGGCTCCCTAAGTCGCTTGTACAGCTATTGTTCTGGCTCCGATATTATCAGCGAATCGGCGCTTTTTACCAGCCCTGGAGTCGACCGACGGAGCTGACAGAATCGACTGACGGAGCTGACAGAGCTGACGGACGGAGCCGACGGGGCTGACGGACGGAGCCGACGGGGCTGACGGACGAATCCGGGAGCCGACGGGGCTGACGGACGGGCCTGACCTGACAGTCGGCCGAGGTGCCTGCCTGCGCTCACGGAGCCGACTGACGGACAGAGATGACGGACGGAGCTGACGGACTGACGGGACTGAGCGAACTGTGACCTGACGGACGGAGCTGATGGACGGAGCTGAGCTGACAGAGCTGAGCTAAGGGTTGGAGCTGAAGCACAGCGTTGTCAAAACTGAACAGACAGAGGGACAGGACAGACGACACTGCACATAATATGGAGCCAGCAGACAACGAGGACCAAGCTGACCGGTCAGACCATGACGGCTGAAAAACGGACCAATTTATTTTCACAGCCTGCAGCGACGGCCACGGTTCGAGCGGCCAGCATTTTAAATCCGTGACCTAATCGCCTCAGGCCGTCCGGTCTCAGCCCTCTCAGTGTCGCTAACCCCCATATCGCTAGCGGCGCTGGGGCGACCACCTACCGTGCACTGGCCACCTCAGCTCGCGGGAGTTCCATTAAATCAGGGCTGCGGCAGCCAGCGGCGCGGGCGGCAGCAGTCACCAATTGAAAGGATGTGCTGCCGCCCATGGTCTGTGAGTTCACGGTACCGGGTGGTGGGCGAGCCCCAACGCTATCATGGGAGCAGCGCTCAAAGGGAAGGGGACGCCCATGGGGTCTGGTGAGAGGAAAAGGAGATAGGGAGAGAGAGAGAGAGAGAGAGAGAGAGAGAGAGAGAGGGAGAGAGAGAGAGAGAGAGAGAGAGACAGAGAGAGAGAGACAGAGAGAGAGAGAGAGAGAGAGAGAGAGAGAGAGAGAGAGAGAGAGAGAGAGAGAGAGAGAGAGAGAGAGAGAGAGACAGAGAGACAGAGACAGAGAGAGAGAGACAGAGAGACAGAGACAGAGACAGAGACAGAGACAGAGACAGAGACAGAGACACAGAGAGAGAGAGAGAGAGAGAGAGAGAGAGAGAGAGAGAGAGAGAGAGAGAGAGAGAGAGAGAGAGAGAGAGAGAGAGGAGAGAGAGAGAGAGAGAGTCAGCGGAGGCGTGGACCAGCCGCGCCGGGCCGATCTGTTGCAGCCGGGCCCGGTCCAAACATGGATAGCTCTGCACGGGTGTCCGCCCGGCTGCATTTTGCAGCAGTGCGCCCGCCGGTGTGTGTACCTCACCGCCAGTGAACGGGTGATGACAGAGGCGGCAAACATGGACGGAGCTAATAGCACCGCCGGCCGTGCCACTGACCGTGATATAGGGAGCCGTGCCGCGATGGGAGAGTTCGAGGCGATCAGACTCGGACGTCACAGGTATCCTATCCACGGCCGGCTATAGATCACTTTTTTGTATCTGTTAGATCGTTAAATCTGACGATAAAAAGGATTAAAATGATGTAAACTATTGATCATTCCTAAATCTGACAGAAGCTTTTGATGTGATATGATGTGTGGTCGTGCGACTTAAAATGTCCTTAGACGGCTCGACCTAGTTGACTACCATCTCATTCGGGTCATAAGCAAGGGCGTTTGCGGTGATCCGTTTACTTGAATGAACGGTTCCAGCATAATGTAAACAACTTTCATTCAATATATGTCAGGCAGCTGACGTCAAAAGGAGACAATAAATTTAAATCTGTCAATAATTGACATTTATTTGCGCTTCTCCCGCTCATCATCCGGTAGGTCTTAGGTATGAGTATGTCCTACTTTGATGAAATGTTAAGAGTATTTCGATTGGGTATTGTAATTTAGGGGTCAATATAATTTTTTCATAATGGAACCAGACGACACTTATAATGTTGTCGATTATTGAAAACGTTTATGATAAAACGCCCTTTTCCATATCCTTTATATGGTACCATAGTGGTGTTATGAGAAATGCAGTGATAGTACCTAATGAAAAATGCGCTGATAAATAAAACTTTGGCCGGCAGCAGCGCAATACGTTAGTTGCTGGTCCATTAGCTATAAGCTACGTTCCAGCTTCAATACAGCAACCCCTGCCGCGGAGTTTGTGGCATGTGAGAAGCCGATGCGCGCCTGGAAAACGTAAATGATTCCACAAGAGCCAGCTGCCGTCTTTCACAGCCGCCTGCGTTACCGGCGGCCTACCAAGAACTCCGGTAGGCAAATTATCAAATGATAAGACGCCGGCGCTCGCACTTCTTAGGACTAATAATAACTGAATGTGCTTGGTGCTGCTTCCCATTCCACAATCTTTGCAATCTTAGACGTGCAGCGTCCCAGAGAAGAAAATAATATTGGATCTCGACTCCCACTAGGCACAGTTTGGTGGCCTCGACTTCAAGACTGTGTAATTTTAAAACTATTTTATTTCAATAGGCATAACCACAACATAGGCGCTGCATTTCCCAAACAGTCTGAAAGCGCCAGCCTGGATTACCTAAATGAGGTCGGCCTGCACTCTAAGTTGCGGTACTCACCTGCACAAATGCGGTGTCCGAAGCTCCTCCGCAGCCTTGCTCCCTTACTCGCCCGTAGACCGATCGTTGTCAGACTGTATCCAGAGACCAGACCGATCCCTTGCCGGTCCCCACTCGTCCGTTGCTCCCGTTCCGCCACCTCCCTCTGCAGCTGAGCAGGCTCGCTGCTCTCTCCGTCACTGCTCGGGCCGCGGGCCGGGTTTCTGGCCGGCCGCCCGGCACCCGTCGGTCGGCGGCGGCGCGCGCGCAGAGCCGCCCGTCGGAGCCGACGCAGGTGTGACGTCGCGGGAAAGAACAAAAACTGTGCCCGACGCTGAGTCACCGGTGCTTCCGGCCTCCCGGGAAACGCGGACAGCACAGCGCTCCTGTCACCGACTCCCGAGGCGAACAGATGCGCAGCGGCAGACGACGGATTTCGGGGAACGGGGCATCACTTTGCCAGGCTAAATACTAATAGGGAACGTCACACTTTGAAGTCGGTAGTGAGCGATATGAAATGCAACGAGTCGGTAACTTGTGATTTACCGTTCTCATCATTATTGGACACATTTAAAGTATTCATTTAGGTACAGCCATAGACCTCTACATAAGATCTATGGTACAGCATCTAAAGGGCTATTACGCTCGAGACATTCAAGATTGGCGAGCTAACAAAAACGGGAAATCGAAAGGCAACATCGGTCATAATAGCACCAGTATAGCGCCTTTTGGGGCGACTAACGGAGCGAGTGAGGGGGTGAGTCTTGCACGTGCGAAATTTCGAGGGGGTACCTCCAACTGACTTGTGCACGGCACCCTACTGACCGGTTTCTAGCGATGTGCCAAATTTGAGCACAATCGGCCCAGCCGTTCTCGAGATCTGGGAGCGGCACCCTGCACGTGCGCACGTGCAAAATGGGTCCCAATTGACTTGTACACGGCGCCCTACTAACTGGTCCCTAACTGTGTACCAAATTTGAGCGCCATCGGTCCAGCCGTTCTCGAGATCTGGAAACGACCCCTGCACGTGCGCACGTGCAGCAGCACCCCAACTCTGGCACATGGATATGCAGTGCCTAGTGGGTGCCTACCTACATACCAACTTTCAGCGCAATCGGCCAAGTAGTTACCGAGATATTGCAACAATTACAAAACTGACACCTCTTCGTTTTGCACGTGGCACGTGCATAAGGGGTCACCCACATGCATCGGGAATAGTCCAATAATTGGTAGAAGGAATGAAGCTACCCTACAAAAATTACCGCATGTAAATCGGTCAAGTGGTTGCTGAGATATAAGCCTCGCAAAAGCGTCCGCACGGCCGGCCGGCCGGCCGGCCGGCCGGCCGGCCGCTCATACTCAGAAATTTCCGTTATTCTACGTAAGACTCCGCTCGCTTCGCTCGCTCCGTAATAATAACCCGCACAGTAACAACAAATGCTGTGCTTTACCTAGCTTCAAAAATATAGTTCGGTCTAAACGGACGACCGTCTACAGCCGCTCCCAACATTCAAGTCCGTTCTCCCGCTAATGAAATTAAAGCATGATGTTGACCGTCTTATTCCTGCCACATCAAACGCAATAGCATATTATTCCCCGCTGAATTAAATGTCGATTGGCGTCCCTGCTATGTTTGGTTTGAGTCATCAATTTAGATCCAGTCTCGGGAGTTCGAGGACCGATTTGGAGAAGAGGCCAATTAAAGTCGATTTTATACACCATCAAAGCCTCAATATTAGGACTGAGTGTTTAATAGTTCACGGTCCCGAGATCCCCGGCTGTCATGACGTCATTAGGCCTGACCTCGCTGCACGGTTCGTCCCTACACAGTGCACAGTGCACAGTGTACACTGCGCAGAGGCCAGAGCAGCGAGAAGCAGCGGCCTGCCGTTTTTTATTCTTGTCAGGCTTGACTATTATGCGTCGGCGCAGCCTGTCCTGTCAGAGGGGCCGGTACCGAGTTCCCGTTTTAGAAACAGCGCACGTCCTTGAACCCACAGTTAGGTATTCGAGATGCCGACATTCCAGCGTATATCGTTCACAAATGGCAACCACGGTAGCGTTCGGCACACGTGATCACGGTTGGAGTTTTTTTAGGCTTATTTAAATCCATTTTACAAAAAAAAAACTCCCCAAATGTACGTAAGTACGCGTTCCTCTCATCGTCATAGAACCGAGCAGCGCGCCTAATTTCCCGAGAACCTGCAGCTCTCTTGTCGGAGGTGTCGGAGGCGCCCCGAGTTGGACGGATCACCGAACAGGTTCGGGCACTTCCGTCACCGAGGGGCGCCGAACCAGTTCGGCTGTGGTGTAGGTCACGGGCGCCAGTCATGTGGCTCCCGCTCGTCGCGCTCCTGTTCCTGCTCCTGCTGCTCCTGGTGTGGATCAGGAGGCCGTACCGACCCGACCGATTTCCACCAGGTACGTGAATTATTACACCACCCAGCGACTGTGGATTTAGAATAAACGCTGATGTTGGACTCAACTGTAGGCCGCGTCGAAAGGAAAGCGCTATACACCTGGCGATCTACATAATCTGTGTTTATGATGTGTATGACATAGGTAATGCCTATCCTAAATTGTGCCGGGAATATTCTTAGAGCGATCCACGAGACGCTTCAGCAGGCGTTTGCTGCTCGGTGTTATTTGATGACTTAAATCATTAATAAAAATATGAGGCGTCAATTTAATGAGTACCTACAGGCCAAAATTGAACTACAACTGGCGAAAGTTGGCGTTCACTGAAATAAATACGATGACTGTTAGAATAGGCTATCCGTTGAAAAAAGACTTGATCACCCGTAACGACCAACTAACTGTATCATTAGGATTCATCCAGAGTAAAACGTTCCAGAAATTGGCAGTGTGTTCGTACAGGTGCCGGCCAAAGCCCTAAAAACATATTTACGTGCCGTTCCTGATTCCTCATTGCAGGCCCGCCAACATTCCTGATTTTCGGCAACATCGAGTTCATCAATGAGACCCGGAAGGGCGTCTTCAGACCGCTGATCGCCAAATGTCGGAAGGAATTCGGCGACATCATCGGCATCATCATGCCGACCGGACAGCGGGCGGTGCACCTGCTCGACTTCGATCTCATCAAGGAGGCGACCGCGATGCCCGAGTTCTCCGGCAGACCTTCGCTGTTCACCTCACTGGTGCGCAGCTTTCAGCAAAAGCTGGGCATCATCTTCAACGAGGGACCTACCTGGAAGGAGCACCGCCGGTTCTCGCTAAGACATCTGAGAGACCTCGGCTTTGGCAAACAGTCGATGGAGGGTGTGGTTCTGGATGAATTCGAAAGTCTCGCCAAAGAGATGGAACAAAACATCGACTCGCCGTTGACAATCCACAACGACTTCTTCAACATCACGGTCCTCAACGTCGTCTGGCAGATGGTGGCCAGCATGAGGGTGGATCGAAACAGCCCCGAGGCGAAGCAGATGCTACACAGCGTGAGCGAGTTCTTCCGGGTGGTGGGCCCGCGCAGCCCGATGAACATCACGCCGTGGCTGCGGCACTTCTTCCCCGAGTGGAGCGGGTACGCGCCGCTGATCCGCCATCGCGAGACCACCATCGGCATCTTCGACAAGATCATCGCCGAGCACCGGCAGACCCTGGACCGCTCCAGTCCTCGCGACTTCATCGACCAATTCCTCATCGAGATGGAGTCGGAGGACGCAGAGGCGCGTCAGTTCACCGAGCGAAACCTGGTCATCGTCAGCATGGACTTCTTCGTGGCCGGAATGGAGACGTCGGCGACGATGCTGCACTGGTCCGTCCTGCTGATGGTGATGTACCCGGACGTGCAGACGCGCGTGCAGCAGGAGCTGGACGCTGCGCTGGGCGGCCGGCTGCCCTCCTACAGCGACCGGCCGCGCCTGCCGTACACGGAGGCCACGCTGATGGAGGTCAGTCGGCGGTGCACCATCACACCACAGGGCGTGCCCCACAGCACCACCTGCGACACCACGCTGGCCGGCTACACCATCCCCAAGGACACCTTCGTCTACATGCACCTGCAGGAGATCCACATGGACCCCGAGTACTGGGGAGACCCGGAGGCCTTCCGACCGGAGAGATTCCTGACGGCCGACGGCGCAGTGCGACACGACGAGCGTCTGATTCCGTTCGGTGTCGGCAAGAGGTTCTGTCTCGGCGAGACGCTGGCGCGGATGGAGACGTTCATTTTGTTCGCGGGTCTGATGCAGCGGTTCCGGTTCGCCGCCGTCCCCGGGCAGAATCTGTCGCTCGACACCAAGTTTGGCGTGGTCCAGACACCGATGAAGTACAGTGTGACCTACAGCAAGCGGGATGGCTCACAGCAAACACAATAAACTGGAGGACAACACGCCCAAAGGCACAACGCGACCCGCCAGCGACGGACGCTCGTGATTTCCACAGTTTGGCATAGACAGACTATGGTGTAATGTCGAAATCGCCTGCATTATTACTGAAATGTGTGCACTGCCGCCTAAATTAGGCGTAAAAAGGTGTATGCATTAGCCGAGTCTGAATAACATAGCATGTGCTTACTCACTCCACTAATGAGGTACTTAGTACTTACTTTTTACTAACCAAATATAGTTTGAATACAAAAAGACCAGTGAGATTGTGCACAAGACGTTACCTGAAAACAATGCAATGGCCGCGTATGAGCGACTTGAAATACGAAACTGTTGTAGGTAAGTATTAAACCGTTGTGCAACAACTTATTCTACTCGTATGTGTTTGTTTTTAGTTGATGGGTCTCGGGCTGCATATACTTATTTTTGGTCGTCGATCGCCCGAGCGTCATTTTAAGATCATACTTTAACAAGTAAACACGCACACATACAAAAACTAAAACACCAAAGAAGGAAGGACCTTATCTGGACGAAATACAAAAATGAATACGAAACAAAATGAAACATGCTTGTACAAAACAATAAGTAGGATCTTGACCCACATTTATTGGGCATGGAATGAACATAAAACACACCCAAGGCAATGCACGGCACATTTAATAACACCACATAAGACGGACCTTGCAACGTGATATGTAAAACGAAATATATCGTGATGAAATGATGAGAAACATGTGTCTAGCCTAGCTCGTCTCAATTGTTTTAAAGCAAGAACCAATTTTGTAACGATGCAATTTAGGCTGCTGACCTGGAACGCACACTTTTACTTACTTACTGACAAGTAAGCGGTGCGATCCAGATAAAACGAGCTTCGATAGTGTGCTATGATAAAATACTGATGGAATAATTACACTGGTTCGAGTTCACGGCAATAGAAGGAAAAACCACCAAAATGCCACAAATTTCTCAGACGAACGTCACATCAAATTAAAACAAACCGTCACCCTTCACACACAATTTCCACCCAACCCCTTCCCTCGGGAAAAATCCCACACCCTAGCACATAACACACATCATAACGGAGAATAATGACTCGTTGTGCCATGTCGCAAGCATCTACTCGAATAAATAATCGATTAGTGTCGAACTAACGAGAGTAGCGCCAGACCGGACATCTGCCGATAAACGTGTGCTTTCCTAGCTTCGTTTGAACCCAACCTTGTCCAGCAGTACGACATATCCTGAGGCTAATGTCTAAGTAAGTTGCTCAGTCATGATCACCGTCCCCTTCGCTACTGCTGAGCGCAGGAGTCAGTCACAGTGTGCGTGATAAAAGCTTGGCTTAAAACACACCACAAATTCCAATTCCACCGGTCCCTACCATTCCATCTCGTGTCGATGTCACGGCGTTTTCGACATCCCAAATATTGCGTATATCGTGTCAATGCCACTGACCTTGACACTTCAATGTTCCTAGATGCTATGTGCCGATTATGTCATAGCTCCGTGTGTGACGTGGCACTTTCCGCTTCTGAGAGCACAGCATCATCCGTAGATTCTGTCGATGGCTGCTCATCGGAAACCTGCTCAGCGTTGGCCGAGTCAGGTGATAGATCTTCGTTCTCGGGGGGATTCAGATCACCGGATGTCTCCTCTTCGTTAGACTCCTCATCGTCGTCATATTCGTCGGCTTTCGCCTCGTCTGAAAGTAGGGACGACGAACTGCATAAGAAACCAAAACGAAAGAAAAATAAATAGATAACACCGTCGAACAGAGAGGATAAGTGCTAAAAAAGAAAGGACGTCAATTCAACTCCGCAGCTTGCAAGGCACAACAGTCTCGGTCAAACAGAACGACATTTGAAACTACAGCGATTAAGCAACCTTTTGATCACAGCAGCTCTGTAGGTGTTAAGAACATGCCGTCTGGCCGATGGGCAACGTACCACAGGACATCCCTGCTTTGTAGTGACTGAGCAGACCTATATCGGTCGGCGAGGTGAGCATGTTGGCAGCGAAGGACAAGACAGCAACCGGAAGAGAGACAAGACGTGTTGTGTTCGAGGGAGAGAGAGAGAGAGTCCCTGGACGTGAATGTGTGATAAACAATAGGAATAGAATGTGAAGCGGTAGACGCTTTACGGTGCAGTTCTTCGAAAAAGGTGATCTTTTCGACATGGACGATTACTGCAGCCAAATTAATGGCAAATATCTCATTTCATTCATTGTGTGTTGTGTATCATATGTTCACTGTCGTATCGAACGCTCTATGCCCCTCGCTCCGTATTTCCAAAGATCTGACAAGCTGTCAAATGTTACGCATCAACCATCTATTTGCAGCACAGTTTGTATGAGTAATGTCAGCATAGAATGTGCACGAGCAATGGACACCTACAGAGTGAGGTTAGCTGTGGATCTCGCGAGATCAAACTCAAAGAAAAACAGGTGAATAAATGCTGAGCTGTCATCACAATATCCAAAGGAAATACACTCCCCGAAAAAAGATTTAGGGATACCATTCAGATAACTTCAGAGCTTCAAATTTCCTAAAAAAAAAAAACAAAGATCATACAGCATGGACCAGCTCATGTCTCAGATCCACAGAATTCAATATCACAATCCTTTATGACCAAGTACATACATCGCGAGGACCACTCAACGAAAAACAAGACTAGATTCAAATCTTTTCCGCCAACTCAAGCTGTGCGCGCACCCGTCCATGGAACTATTTCCCACACCTCAAAAACTGGCAGATCCGCGATTCCGACCAGAATCCATCTCTACCTGCAGCGCTAAGTGGGAGTTACTGCTGGAATCGATTCACTATAGAGTGCCACCTTCAGAATGCCAGCACACACAGACAAACGGCTATCACGATATCACCCCGCCGCCCTTAGCTTCTATCCACGAGACCAAGACCTCCCCAATCGCAATACAAACGTAGAGAAACAGTGCAGGTGCAAACTCCTCATTGTGGAATACAGTCGGTGCAATATTGAGGTCAGACGTGGATATAGAATGTCAAGAAGCCATGAAAGTTGCTAAGATGTAACCGTAGGCACCACGACAGCCGACTTGACCACTGGGTGCGATCTATCCACAAACGCGATACTAGGAGCGGTGAGAAGATACTTCGGCGAGACATGGCACAACGTCGAGACTGATGTTTCCTTAGCTGCACTGACTTCATCAGCACAACACTAACGCCGTGTCCTAAGAGTCGATCCATCGGCCACGATATCTTCTCACGATTCATGATTGTTCTGCTTTCGCACTGTCGCACTCCTCTTCATAAAAGAATACCTACTGCCGCATCTTCGCCGGAGCACACATTCTTCTGTTGCATCGCTGTTTTCCAAGTCTATCTGTAAAACTCCCGACCTATAAGGTAACACTAAGCATCCACCACCATTCTTTCCCACACGCCCCACTCGCCAGACCCCTCACACCAGCACTCGCACCGATTGCCCCAAACTCCACACTGACTTCAGTCATGTCTCCTTCGCCTCTAGTAACCAACTCGCACTCCGGCCTCGCCAGTCCCAGTATCCACTCTTCCTCTCCACTGTCTCTGACGGTCTCCCGCTGTTTCCCACTGTCTCTCTATTGTCTCCAGTGTCTCAATGTCTCAGTGTCTCACTGTGCGGGGCGCGGCTAGCCGGCGGCCAGCGGTCAGAGGCTGCTGCGGCTGTCCAGGTGGTACTCGGACAGTGTGATGTAGCCGGCCACCAGGAGGCCCACGATGGCGGCCAGGCTGACGCTCCGCTGCAGCAGTATGCAGGTGGCCAGACACAGGCCCAGGTAGGTGAGGTAGCGCGCCACCGTCACGTGCTGTTCCTTGCCGACCGCCTCGCCGTCTGTAACAGCACGGCGGCTCCGTCAGCCGCGCCGGCGACACGGGTGCCGGCGACGGGGCATGACCAGCGATGGTTCAGGGCTGGAGATGCACTCGTATACGACACAACACCCTATAGCGTTTATCCGTAAGCCCAGCGTCGGATTTAATAACAAATAGTTACTACATAGTCTTTCATAACACTGCTAATTCTACAAAGCGACAAGTGTAAAAACATTAACGACGTGATCACCTGCAAGTGCATGATGGTCCAAAATTAAGATAAGAACACGTCTAAACGCCGTTTCATAAGCATCAATGACACTAATTTCATCACTGCACATGACGCAAGCAACGCCCTTACGTATTGCACACAGTGTAATCAACGTCTAATTTCAAAACAAATACCGAGTCGGCAATGACATTGACGATCCGTCACAGTCCAAACCGTCAAACTTGATGACGTGTGCCGCCCTCGTCACTAACCCGTCAAGAGTCGGACCGTCAGTGGCCGGTACACGTCAAATCAGCTGACACACATCGCTTATAAACACCGTCCCATTATTCGAGCGGTCACTTCTTCATGAATCATTGAACGGTGAACAAAACAAAGCGTCAACGTTCCCTATGACCGTCGGTTGGTTATTTTGTTATTCTGCTTAGCGTGCAGAGGACAGTCTGAATGGCGGCCAGAAGCATGGACTTAGCACGTGATGAATAAACACGAGGATACATTGCATCAGCGCAAGAAAGAACAAAACAACATGAACGTGCGGCATCCACATAAATGCATGATGATACGGATGAGACACAGAAAAGGCTTCATACGAAAACCCGGGATACCAATGACCAAACACAACGCTAAAACACAATGGATACGCTACCGCGAAATACGGAAATCAATGCGAGATTATCAGTCACGGAAGTTCGATAAGAAATGAATTCATACATTCCTCAGGAACAAAGCAGGCTATTTCTATGAGATATGGCTTGCAAGGCACGTACTGAATACGACGGTTGTTGCATCAATATATCGATGATGCACTGGATGCTTTTGATACATTCCATTGTAGCATGCCAAGGATGAAAATAACCGAATGACAATACGTATATTCACTCGCTGAAGAGCAATCTGAAAGTAATCTTCAGCAGGAAACTTCCAGCGAAAGCAGTGCCCATACAAACTGTAGACGAGCGTTACAGACAGTATTGTGCAATGCAGGGAGGGAGAGTAAGGCCTATGGCTTTTGAAGAAAGGGAAAAGGGAGGGGAGAAGGGAGAGGGACATAAAGAGAAGGACGTTCAGGGAGAGAAGCAGTGTGACGCGAGACGCCCTTCTGGGATAAGAGGTTTCAGTGGTGTCATCTGATAAGACAATGGAAAGTCGAGACACATGAAGGACAACTATTCGCGATCCTGCACTAACCAGCTCAGTCCTAACGGGCTACGTTCTACAGCATGCTGGGAGTTGAGGGCGATACATTCCATCACAAGTTAAAGGTTATGACGTTTCGATACCAACGATACAGCAGTAGTGCAGTCAAGAAGGACTGCCCACGTAAACACTACGTCTAGCCGACCGTGGGTCTACTTTGACCTGCGCTCTGCGTCCGTACTCACCGACGCAAAGTTTGCCTTTCTTGACGTATCCAGTAGCACACTCGTGACACATATCGGGACCGTCGCCGTGGCACGTGGCACACGCCCTGTCGCAGTCTGAAACACGACAGGCAAAGGTCAGGTCACGGTACATCGTCCGGAAATGCCACCGAGGCACGTAACACGTCTCAACACACACCAAACACTAAGCCTAACACCATCCCCGGGGATTAAAACGACATCAAATCGCCGACGACAACATGGCTTCAGTCGCTCGCTTCACCTCATCCCACGCAATTTCGACACTCCACAGCAAACCTTCCCATAAGTACCAGCGCACCCGGGCCAAACGTTTCCCGTGCTCCACACCACAGGTCGATACTTTTCCGGCCGAGAGCGGACTAAGTAGCCTCCAATCCCAGTAAGGCGCCGGGCCGTTGATTGACTCCGAGATGAAACAGCCCGGCCGGCGGGGTCGGTGGGGTCAGCGGGGTCGCTGGGTCAGATCAGAGCGGTCCAGCCACCGCCGGGCTCGAGGTGCTGACCTATAGCGCGCGGCGCTCGGCGCAGCAGCTCCCTGAACGTGACCGGTTAATTGGCACCGGAACATGACAGCCCCGCACCGCCCACGACACAAACGAGCGCTGTTATTTAACAGAGGTGAGATGGTATGAATGCCGTGAAGGAATGTCGTGTGTCGGAAGGAAACAAGGTGAACTCAGAAGGAGATACTACGTCAGCTAGAATCATAGTGTGCCGGGTGCCCGTTTCCTTAGTGTCACGCAAGGCACACTGCTCCTGTTTTCCTCATTGCCACTAATTTTTACGTTACCGGCGGTAAACAAACCTGCCCGGAAAGTTTCGCCGCTGCAAATGTCGGAAATAAATAACACTTGTCAGAGCAAGCTCCGAACTCTGACTAACTTCCAATGTTAATCCGAGTCGGCCATTCCAATAACACCACTAACGCGGCATCCCAAACAGCATCGAGTACTGCGTAGAACAAATTCTGATCACGCGCCTCCTTTCGAGCTGCGAGCCGTCACCGGCACCAGCTGCAGCCGACATTTAGCCTGGAGCCTCGGCAGTGGCGGATCCAGGGGGGGGGGCTGCGGGGGCTGGCAGCCCCCACCCAAGGAAAACTGGCGCCACTGCGCCGAAGGCGCAGTGGCGCCAATTTTCAATTCGCAACTCATCGGAGTGCCGCATACTAGGACTAGGATGCAAAAATCAGTCGAATAACGTCGTTTCAGTACGCTCCGCACCGATATTTCCAATCGTGTGGTGTCACTGTACATACTGATCCTGGGCGCCTCTTGTCAGGGCCACTGGGCGCCAATATTTCAGCGCCAATACGATGCGACTATGGCGCCCATCCGGGGCGTGGCGCCCAATTATGACCTGCAGCCCCTCCCCAGTGAAAATCCTGGATCCGCCACTGAGCCTCGGCCCCTGACCGGACTGAACCGCTGCAGCTGCCCGCTCCACCCGCTGCAGCCGACATTTAGCCTGGAGCCTCGGCCCCGCCACGAACCGGCCCTCCGTCCGCCGGCCGGCCTAGGTGACGTAACAGAGACGGCGGATCAAAGCAATCGGAGCGGCGGCCGTCCATCGGTCCGTCGGTCTGTCGGCCGGCCGGCAGACTGCATATGAACGACCCCCACTTCAGAGAGTCGTCCCCTCAGACTAGCCGTCGGGGGGGGGGGGGCACGGGGCACATCCGGTGGCCAGCGGGCCCGGCTGGCTCGCAGTTGAGACGATTTCAGCGACTGGTCCTGAATAGAGGTGGCAAAAGATGAAAATTTTGGGAACCAGACTCGAACCAGACCCGGCTGGACATTTCTGGAACCAGTCGGACCCGGTCTTAGTTGGAACCGGAACCAGTTGGACCCGTTCCCCAAAAGTCAATTAATACAAACTACTTGAAGGAATAATTAGTTGCATCATGTAAAACAGCCCATTTCCCACTGGGAATACTCATGAGCTACTGTGTGCAAAGAAACATTCACTTCATTCACTTCATATTTTGCAATAATGTGTAGTGTGCAAGATGCATAGTTTATGGTAGGACCCGGTTGGACCCGTCAGAAAATATCCAGGAACCGGTCTGGACCCATATGGGTCCAGACTGGTTCTTTGGACCGGGTCCTCGGGTCCACATTTTGCCACCTCTAGTCCTGAATTCAGTTCAGTCGGAGATATTGCTTGGAGTCATGTCTGCCCATAGGTCAGCATGAGATTCAAATTAAATCACGGAGACTCTGATTTAATAACACTAAGCATCTTTCCAGAATGAACCTGCTTTTAGCATTCTATTTCAGCTCTTGTAGAGGTAAAATTACACGAACACATAACGATAGAACATATAACCGCGGAATGTATCGGTTCCATTTCCCCTGGTTCGACGACTCAAAAATAAGAAACCTGCCATGGGCGATCAACATCGAACGTGAATACGCTTTATTCTTTAACGACAGTAGTTAGAATACATTTCAGCCCGAACCTAGTCTGACCAAAGACACACGCGGGACGAAAGTTCAGCCAGATCGCCCCCGTGTCTGAGCCGATGCGATCCGATTCCGGACTCCGGAGACCGAATACCGCATCGTCCTATGTCCCCGAGCGATATCTCGTGGAGTAATTCGGCCTATCCAGACCAGAGTTACCGCACTCTATCCGACTTTGACACAGAAACTTCTACACAAATTGGGCCACTGAGGATCACAGAGCCAGTCTATCGGGACGGGACCGAGCTAACAAATGAACCGCCATTCTCTGCTCCGGGCCAGGAAGTTTACAATCGGAAGGATGCAGAGGTCAGTTGAAATTCAGATTAGACTGCGCTTTTACGTAAATGCATTTGGCCTACACATGAACTACACCAGACGTATATTGAAGCAGCGTGGTGCGTCATTAACGTACCAACATGGCTCTTCGGGTGGCCGTTGCGCAGTTGTTTCGCTGTTTTAGTATGCAGCTGGCATACATATACTTGCTCCGATTAAACAATGGAAGCAACATTTGCAAACTAGAACATCAAACTATCATTTCAAAGGAACCCTCCGATCATCATCAGTTGAGTTCGTGCTGGTGCAGGGTTACACTAGCCGTTATCAAAACAACGAGCTGACTGATGTTCAGCATACACAGAACAACAAACACTTCCGAGGTCCCTATCATTGAGTGGAGATCAGTAAACATGAGGCAATCGTTAAGAAGAAGTTCATCTTACTTGCGGTCAATGATGACTGTCATGAAGTTGACATAGGTCGGCATCAGCCACAAACAAAACAAACATGCCCGTGCAAAAGTGAGAGGAAAGAAAATTGGAATACGGGAATAAATGCTGCGGTATTGGTTTGTTCCCATAGGCTGACGTGTAATTCACCATTCCCACTGGGCATCATTCCTGTTATCTCATCACCGTCATGGAAATTGTCAACAGTCACCAGGAAAGTTATCGTCACTGAGCCCCGCCCGGTGCAGCTCGTCTTGATAGCCGTCACGATCAGCATGCCAGTCTCAGTCACACTCTCCGTCACAATAGGAACTACCGTCACAGTCACTATCCACACCGTCATCGCTCTCGTTGGCTGCGGTGTCAGGGAGTCCGGCCGTGGCGGGTCGATCTGGCCCGGCCGTTCCGCGGACTACGCCGTATTTTGATGAGCCAAGAACGGCCCCCATTATGGAGGGGAGCCATCACAGAGGTCGATCCTACCAATAGCCCGACGACATGACGGTCGCAACGGAGCGGATTACGGCCGCATTTCTAACGGGCATCGGTCTGCTTTGATCAATCAGACACAGCTGATCCCTTCTTAGCTGGCCGATTTAGGGCGCATAAGAGGGGATGAGACATTTTCCCTAAATGGTGCCGTTCTTTGAGGGCTTAAACCCACGGTCATCTCTATGTATATGTAGAGGAAAGCCGGTTATTGTCGCAAACAAAAATTGAACGTCGACCACAGATAGGCAAAAACAGCAGTCTTGATGTAAAAAAAAAAACATCCGTGGAAGCCGCGCAGAGCCAGGTGTTCAATTACTTTTCTGAAGCTCATGATTGTTTTAATGTGGACAAACATGCGAGGCTGCAAACCTGATGCTAACTACCGAGCTTATTAGCAACGTCTGATATCGAAAAGAGATAAATGAGTTACCCGATCGTTTTAGGACGAACTTATTGACAGTACCATTTTATTGGCACTTGACCTAACACCCTTTCCAAAAAGGCACAGTGATAAGGTGAAACGGAATATTTTAACCGATCCCCCAAAGCATTGCCAGGTTGCCGATATAAAACACATACACATAAACCTAGAACCGATCATTGACATTCTAAGACCAAAAAGGCACCGACAAATTGAATGGAACGGCCTAGCTCCTCTCGCGGAAAACCACCTCGGAAAACCACCTCACCTCGACACCATCTATCGCATCTCCTCTGAACGTTCAAGCCTTCAAACCAGCCGCCAGATGTCGGGTCGAGCACCACCCAGCCTCGGCTGACGCATGGCCACGCCCCGACGTCAGTCCCATTCCTCGCCCAGATACCCCGACATACCGTGGCCCACTAGCTTACCTATGCAGCTGTATTGACGGAAGGCGTTCGCAGTACCGTCACACCTAAGCCCCAATCTCCATTCCTCGCCACACAACCCAGCCAGTCAGCTCACCCAATACCAGGCAGGCGTTATTACGGAACTCGTTTTAGAACGGTCACACATATACGCCCTAGTCCCCACCCCTCGTCCACACAGCCCCAGCAGCTCCTTACCCATGCAGGTGTATTTGCCGGGGTCGTTGATGCACAGCTGGTTGGTGCGGCACGTATCCGGCTTCAGGCATTCGTTGATGTCCGAGCAGCCGTATTCGGACTCCCACTGGTAGCCCGAGGCGCAGCGGACGCAGTGCTTAGGGCCAGCCTGTAAGGGAAAGAGAGAGTCCAGTGTCAGCACTGGGCAATGGGCACACAACACGCCGTGACTCCCACTGGTAGCCAGACGGCGCAGCGGACGCAGTACTTCGGGCCCGCCTGTGAGAGATGGAGGGAGCAGGGTTAATAACAATTATAACAATTATAACGATTATAATATAATAATAATGCCATTTATTTCACACCATCATTGGTGCATACAGGAAGTTCCAGTGACAGCTAACACAATCATTACATCCATACATACACACACACACACACACACCCATCAAGAAATTCATATTCAGAACGTTAAAATCAGTGCAAGCACGCACATCGATCAAGAGGAAGCTCGTCTCAGCTTCATACATTGTCTGTAATGACACTTCTCACATGAGCATGATATGTCGGATTTTGATTGACCATTCTTTTCAGACTACCTAAGAAAATATTCAAAATGTCTGCACGAGAGGAGGAAGACAAGTCTAAGGCCATGATATCATATTCACGTCGGATGGCAAGATGCACCCTCGCTGCTATACCATTTTGTCCAATGTCACTGTCAAGCAAGCTCTTTATCAACACATTTTCACTACTGTGGAGTATCTTATAGAACAGAAGCTGTCTGCTTGCTACTAGCATAGGACAGGGGAGAATTTGAAGAGCTAGACAGAGAGGATGGTTCCTGAATGATTTCGGTAGTTTGACTATTTTCTTCACACATGAGTGATACGCCACACACAGTTCACGAAACACATTTTTTTCTTTACATGGATCCCACAGCTCACACCCATACAGGTTCGCGCAGTAGGACTTAAACAGCTTTATCAGAATTTCTCTTTTAGCATGGCCTACCAACGCGCAAAGCATATTAGCACGATAGTATAGCGATCTCTTCAGCTTACGCATGTCGCTGCTATCATTCAGTTTGCTGTTAATCACATGCCCAAGATACTTAAACTCATCAACCCATGTTAGGTTGGTACCTGACAACCTCACAATTGGGGGTTGTGACATGGACAGATGCGAAGATGCACTTGGACGCTGGGGATTAAACACCATGCATACACTCTTCTTAGCATTGAATTGTATGTCCCTGGACACAGCAAACGATTCACATATTTTGACAAGCTCTTGTAAACCACCCCTTGATGGCGACAAGACAACAATATCGTCGGCATACGCCAGCACATTTACAGCACAGCCACCAACGTGACATCCTATGCCAGTAGATTGTAACATTTGAAGGAGATCGTCCAGGTATACATTGAACAATAATGGTGACAAGCATCCACCCTGGCGAACACCGTTTGCGACCGGAAATGAATAGGATGTGCTATTTGCCCATTTGACGCCCATCATCTGGGACCTGTACCAATGAGTTAACAGTTTCAGATATGGTAACGGAACACCCCTTTCTTGGAGTATTTGAAAGAGCTTAGCGTGATTCACTCTATCGAATGCTTTGCTTGCATCAAGGAAGCAGGCGTACACTGGGCTTCCTTGTCTAGTGTAATAGTGAACTGTTTCTTTAAGAACATATGTGGCATGCGTTGTTGAATGATTAGACTTAAATCCAAATTGCGCATCATTTGTTCTTAATAGCGGTAGAAGCCTGTCAACCAGAATAAGTTCCAGGACTTTTGATAAAGTTGTGGATAAAGCGATTGCCCTATAGTTCGATTTATCATCAAGTGCACCACTTTTATCCTTAATTAATGGCGTCAACAGTGAATAAATGAGATCATCAGGGACGTTTCCATGGTTCAGTATGCTGTTAAATATGGAGACTATGACATATAAGTTATCAGCTTCAAGATAACGCAGATGTTCACTGTACATCTGATCCCAGCCTGCAGCTTTTCCACCTTTCATTTTGGCTATAGCACTCGACACTTCCTCCCTGGTAATGGGGAGAACATTATATAAAATAACAATTAAAATATGCAACGACACCTAAATCTGTGGAAAAAAACGCAAGGCCATTCATAGCCCTCATTCACAGCCCATAGGTATATTTGCTGTCATTGTCAACTGAATACAAAACACTCAAAAGTACGTCACATAATATGAAGATGGCGGATGGTGATAGTCTCCTCGAGACGTGCAAACGAAACTCACAGAACAAGACATGCAAAAAAAAAAATCCAACACCGACACTCACCCCTGCGCAGGCTCCGTCGCAGGACTTGTGGCACGGCGAGCAGACCAGCTTATTCTCGTCCTTGTAGGCCTCGTAGTGGTCCGTGACGTTGCACGCGTTGCACAGCGTGCCAGAATAGCCCTTGTTGCAGGCACAGGCGCCGCTGCCCTTCCTTGAGCCATCACCCTGGGAAACAGAAAAGAGGGAGAGGGGTAGCTCACGCCTCTGGATGGACAAGTTCGTATCAATAAGAGTGAAAGGCAGCGAGATAACAGTGATAACTATTAGTAGACGACCATTCAATCACAGAAACCAGTCTCAACTCTGTTTGCAAACGTTCGCCGCACTTCGGTAAGTGTAGCTCTAACCCTGCAGTGTCCATGTCCGGATCGGTCTCTCACTCTGCAGGCCTGCAGTGTCCGTGTCCGCAGCAATCTCTCACCTTGCAATGTTCGTGTCCGGAGCAGTCTCTCACCTTGCAGTGTCCGTGTCCGGAGCAGGGCGTGTCCGGGCCGCCGGGACACGGCTGGCAGGTGGGTCCGTAGTGTCCGGCCGGACAGCAGACGCGCCGCCGCTCCACACACAGCCACAGGTGGAGGTCGGGCCGCGGCTCGGCCGGCCACCACTCCGTCTCTATCGCCTCCTCGGCGTCGTTGGCCACGTCGTGACACTGCCAGAAAGCGAAAAACGTCACGTAACTAATAATTCTACGAAAATTTGTCATTAGCCGCAGCATAACACAGTGAGAAAAACATAGTGAAAACTTAACCCGCGCCCTGCTGGGGGGGGGGTGTTTGAACACCCCCCCTGTGGTTTTTCGCGAATATCTCAAAAACGGCGGCGCGGAGCGCCGCCGTTTTTGGTACACCTTATCATACATCAATTCTACACATGTTGTGAAAATTTCAGACCAAGGTCATTCAAGGTCAGGTCACCAGGTCACTTGAAGTGACCTCACCTCATAAAAACTTTCAATGTCTGTCATAGCTACACCGAGTGACCGATCGCTTTGAAACTTTCAGCGATTGCTAAGAGCAATAGCATGTACAAAATGTATATCTAAGAATTTTGATATCGATGACCTAAGGTCAGGTCAATTTTGCGACCTCCCCATTATAAGTCAATGGGAGAAAATTGAAATGCGCCTCTTTTGGATGAAAGACATTATAAACACTCCCAAACACCGAATCACAAGTGGTTTAGACACACTGAACTTGAAAATGGTGTCCGTGACCCTTGTTTATGCCCTGAGGTCATCTTAGGTCACGAATGGTATCTAACAGTTTTTCGCAAATAACTTTTGATAGAGGTATGCTAGAGCGATGAAAACGCCTTAGATGTGTTCAGCTCGACGATACGGATCGACTGATATGCAACATGGCCCTTTCCGGTCAGGTCATGACCTTGACCTGAGGTCAAATTTTCAAGTTGACCTTTCAAGGTCAAGTCATAGTTCATTCGATGCGTCTTGACGAGAGGAACACGATGCCGGTAAAAGTAAGCTCGTACAAGGCTTGGGTCAAAAGTTATTGCAGAAAAACTGTTTTAGAAAAAATCGGCTATTTTTGCAGTTTTTGCCCCCTGCAGGCAAAACCGTTGACGTTAGGTCAAATCTGAGAGAATTACTCAGAAAGGGCGTTAAAAGAGCTATCGAATGCGCTTTTCCGCGGCGCTGTAGCTCTATTGGTTCCCGAGTTATGCGTTGGCTTCTTGGAAATTTTCGACATTCGACCTAGAAATCGGCGAAATTTTGCCTTCAATGACCTCTGGTGACCTGACCTTTGACCTGACCAAAAAATTGACCGAAGTGATTTCGTCATTATTTTTGACGCTCTTTCGAACGCCGCCTTCCGCGTATCGCTACGTGGCCCAGGAGCCGAGTTACAAGGGGGGGTGTTCAAACACCCCCCCCAGCAGGGCGTGGAAATCCAGGACCCCCAGCAGGGCGCGGGTTAAGTTAAACGCATAATTCCAGCTTGTGTGCACATTGAACAGGAAATGTACACTTATGGAAACTCCATGCAAAAAGCCTCATCTTTAAATATCTTTCAACTGACCTGGCTCTTGCCGACGACAATGTCCGTACAGAGCATGGACTGGATCTCTGCCAGGCGGACCTCAGAGTGAGCATAGTTTTTGAGTTTCTTCTCTTCCCAGTCGGCGTCTCCACCCTCGTGGTAGCCGCGAGCCGTCTTCTCCATGGCCTGGGTGAAAGATCAGAGGGTGAGAATTTACTGAGTGGTGGCAATGTCTTGGCCATGATACTGGGGCAGGAGCAAGAGTTTGCAGCAAAAAATTCAAAACACTGACATTTTAGCACCACAAAATGCTGGCCAACAAGGTTTTTAAATATCAGAAATGATGAATACATAAATACTTACTGCTTTGAATGACTTCACCACAGCCTTGCAGGCCTGGCATGCTCCCAATGCAGCATGGTGCTTCTCATTTATTTCTAGGTCAAGTCGCCCATTTACACACACAACAGCCAAGAGAAGGGGCAGAGGCCAAAGCTTCATGTCCTGAACTGAAAAAAGACATCACATTATATGATAAACAGGACTCCAAAATCACAATTGAACAGTGTCTTGTTTACAAACACTTACTTTCCATGACTGGTGGCATTCTGAAAACAGGTGAAAACAAGAACTAAAAAATAGACTGAATGCTTCAAAGTCATCACTTAACTACGAAGTACGAACTGGGCTAGTTACAGGTATAAGGTAGGTACCTAGTTGATTATTCATGTTAATATGAATACCAGGCAGGAAAACAAAATAAATCCAAAAGGTGGAAATCACCAGTCTAGAACAAGAAGTCCAAAATCAAAAGATTCAAAGCCATCAGAAAAAATGAGAAGTGGCCAGACAGAGGCCCACAAAACCAAACAGTGGGCAGTGAATGTAAATGCCTGTTCCATACTGGAACATGAGACACATTTGTCATTGATGAAGTGCATTAAAATCAAAGAAAAGAAAGCACTTCAAAACACAATGGACCATTCAATTTTCACTGCACCAAACACTGAACTAAACATTCTTTCTGCTTTCATCCCTTTCATTACTTATAACCATGAGCTAACTAGTGGAATGTGATTTAATAATGCTTCAATGGGTTCAACCTCCTGCCCAACAGGCAATTGCACAAATCCCAGACAGCCAAAAACAAAAATTGAGATGGCCATTGTCCATTATGGGCCTGTTCCAGCGCCTCCAGAAGAAATTCTTGACTGGAGGCTCTACCAGAGGTTTTACTGGAGGCGCTGGAACGCAATCTGGAGATTTCTGGAGATTGGCGTCATAGATACCAAAAGAATGACGATTGTTCTCTCTTGAAACGCAAAATTTGTTTTCAATTTTAGTTAAAAAGATAAATAAAATTATAGCAATGTAATTTTCTTTACATTCAAGTTGTAAAATAATCAGTCAAATGTCCTTTGTTTACATTCGTGATTGTCACATGTGCACCATAATTGTAGACCAGAGCCTCCAGAGAAATTTGGACCTCTCAACTCTCTGGAGGCTACTGGAGGTTTCTGGAGCTTTGGCGAGAGCTTTCTGGAGCTTTCTGGAGGCGCTGGAACGCTCTCTGGAGGATTCTAGAGCTTTCTGGAGCTTTCTGGAGGTTTCTGGAGGCGCTGGAACAGGCCCTATATTAGTGATCTTCAAGCGTGGAATTATTGTGGAAAACATGGTTTACAAAGGCTTCCATATACCTTACCTTACCTTACGGTATACGGGTTGTGGGAGGCCAATTTGGCCTGTGGGGCCCGGTCTCAGCGAGCTCCCAGTGCTTATCGACAGTCAGCCTCAGGTTGGGTAAGATCGGGTTCAGGTGGGAAGGCTTTGCATGATGTCAGCCCAGTGGGCATCCAGCCTGGTCTTGAATTGGTTGACTGACGTAGCTGATACGACCGCTTGCGGGAGAGCATTCCATGGGTTAATAACACGTGTACTAAAAGAGTGTCTTCGGATGAACGTCGTGGCCCGCGGTTTCGCTAGTTTCCACTCATGGCCTCTTGTTCTTCCTGAAGTTGATCTGGTGAGCAGCTTCTCGGTGGGGACCGCCATGCCACCATGCAGAATCTGATAGACGGCTATCATATCACCCCGTTGACGTCTGTAGTATAGCGAAGGGAGCTTCAGTGCGCGCAACCTCTCTGGATACGACAGGTGTCGGACAGTTTGTACCAGGCGAGTAGCTCTTCGTTGCACCCGCTCAACCTTCTTCTGGTCCAGCTTACTAAACGGTCCCCATACGAGGTTCCCATATGACATATATTATTTTTGAATTTCTTCAGAGTTGAATTTTTTGAAAATCCCACAAGTTCCATCTCAGATCCACAATCATGGGATCATGGGACATGGACCTGAAAGACAAAATGGTTCACACGATTTTCTAAAAACTGTCAGCTCTGAAGAGATGCAAAGCAGTAAGTTCGTTTTGAAATTTTTATAAGCAATAGTTTCCACAATAATCTCACATTTGAAAACTTTACCTTAAGGCCATCTCGAATTTCAATTTACTTTCGTGTTGGAATTGTCTGAGATCCGTGCACACTTGCACTGCACATGCATCGACGTTGCCCTGAGGAACTAGCTGTTCTGGTTTATTGCATTTCATTTTCCAACACGTAAAGAACAATATTCATTTTAAGAAAGTCATCACCAAGTCCAAAATGGGTAAAAACTCAAAAAATAAATTACCAAAAATGCCTCAGTTTCCCAAAACGCGACGGTCGCCGGCCTGCGCAGCGAATGTAGCTCGTGCGCGAGGCTCGCTATTTTGTTTATAGTGACGTATTCTACGTCAGCGAACTCACCCCGCGTTCGATATCTCACGGACAACGAAGATTCTACGTCGTCTGGCCAATCCCGTTCAAGGTCAGCGGGGGCTCGGCTGCGGCTATGGAGCGTGATTGGCCGGACGGCGTAGAATCTTTGCCGTCCGAGAGACATCGAACGCGGGGATAGTCATTCTCCCAACATTTTCCAATATTATTATCCAGGTGGTAAAGCAATGCAAAACCCAACATCTTGGAGTAGTTAAGAGTCTGTTAAAATAATATTTTTGATTATTGGCTGCTTACACTTACAATATTCTCCCAGAGCTGATTGAGGATCTGATAAAGCGTGATATAAAACAGCACTATATATAGAGCTGCAAGTTTTACTCCCCGCGAACCCAAAAGCGAGGTGTAGTCCTTATTTATATATTTACCGTGGTTATTAGAAAAGTAATCTTGATGAGGCGTAGTACATACATACAACGCACGGAGTCAACTATCACCGTCATCAGTCACAACAATCACATCGAAAAATTGCACTTCGTTTCTTTTGCTATGAACAAAGAAGGCTAGACAAATCTGTGATATAGCAGCCGCCCACCACTCACCACCGTCTCACGTTAGCCAAGCAGAGACACCAAAATTGGAAACCGTTCTTGTATTATTTGCACCGTTTTGTGTGTACTACCTGAACAGCAGCCGAATGCGGCCATGGCAGTATGTTTTGTTCATCTCGAACACCTTGCCCAGCTGTCAGAACTCAGAACATCACACAATATAATGCTTCGAGTTGTAAAACACTGCCATCGAAAGGAGTAGCCCGTGGAGCGACCTACAGGGCCACAGCCACCGCTAATTCGTGGAGCTATAAAACACTCCTTATTATCTGGACTTCTCACGCGCTCTGGCACAGAGGGAAGCATGTCGCACCGACGATGGATTATATCCTACCGTCGCAATGTACAACTAAATAACAAAAAATTGTCCCAAGCCTACATCACACCAAACAAAGTTACAGTTATAGACCTTCGCATACCGGTGTAACGGAGGTCTACGGTACAGCCTTGTAAGTAAACCAATGACTAAAGCGGATGAACTGCAAAATTCCAAGCCGCCTAACCAAGTTGCACTGAATCTGACTCACGTGAACAATCTGCCACAATGGTTTGCTAGCTAATTATCACTTCAGCATGGCAAACCCACTATTGAGCGCACAATCGGTACACAAAAGACCGAATCATATCCCCCGCGGGGCGGGAGGGGTTACTGCTCGTCCTAAGCTCAAGTTTGTTGATATTGCACAGCCTGGCAGGACCCCGCCAGTGACGCGTCAGTTAGGCCCCAACCTGGGAGGCGTCGCGGGGCCGCTGCTTCTCATCCTCGGTAGGCTCCTGCTGCTGTTTGACACGTCCAGCCTTCATCGCGATACGAGACCGCTGTTTCTCATCTTCGGCAGGCTGCTGCTGCTGCTGTTTGACATCAGTCTTCATCGTGATATAATCGCTGCTGTCCTTCAGATTGTACTTCTTTATCATCTTTTCAAACGTGTCGACGATCGCCTCTCTGAGGATTGGCGAAATGAGTGCAAAATGGCGAAATGAGTGCAAATCGATACAACTGACTGTTTAAAACGCACATCGCAATCCGTGAGCGAAAGGCCTGGACAAAAGCAAAATCAATTTTTGTGCGTAACTAGTTCAGCTTGCTAAGAACACAAGTACGAGAAAGCATGCACCCTTTGAAAGAACGAGGAGACAAGGTAGAGACACCTTCAGAGAGCCTCTGACCCAAACGTCTCGCGAGTCTCCTCACCTGAAGGTGTCCTGGTTGAAGAGGTAGGCGCCGATGTGTCCCGTGTCGATGAAGCGCACCTTGCTGCCCGGCCACAGCTCGGTCAGACTGGTCAGACCCTCCCGGGGGATGTACGCGTCGTCACGAGCCTGGGGAGGCGAGACGAGACAGCGGTTTGTGTTACCGAGGAAATGATGGTAGATGTACGTCAAAGCATACGGACGTTGCACCGGACAATCTCACACACAGACGTACGGTGGTTACTGGTTACTGGTTATTGGTTGTATAACCGCCACGCACTTATTTCACATGCAGGATGGGACTTCTTCTGCCGTATGTACTATGGAATTGGATTGAATATATATTTAACGATGGACACAAAGGCACTACAAATTCCAAAGTAACACTAAGACCATTTTTAGAGACCATACACACTCAAAATTAATTTGTCACTGCCACGAATGTGTCACCGGATAGTCGTTGCTCAAACTCGTGCGGCGAACGAAACACACAATATTCATCCCATGGTGTCAGACTGACCTGCACGATGAGCGCCAGCTCGGGGTCCACCGGCACGGGGAAGTTGGCCAGGTGCGTGCACTCGTCCATGATACCCCTCATGAAGTTGTACGCCTCCATCATGGTGGCCGGCCGGGAGGAGGACGCCTGTGCGGACGGACGGACCAGCTGCGGACGGGGAGGGCACAGAGCGCGTCAGAACACGGAGGTAGGTATACAATGTCGTCTACCTACCTACCTAGTGCCTACTGCACCCAAATAGACAGTGCGGCAGGACGACTGTGGTTGGTATGCTAATATATCTCTAGCAACACTAGAATATAACACAATGAAGGAAACGAAATGAACATAATGAATCAAAACATGCATAAACGAAAACGAATATCGACAGGGTGGCGCTCCTAGGTTCAATAATAGCCCACGAGATGCTCAAGTCGAAGCGAGTATTGTTTAGAGTCGTTCACCTTCAAACTAGCTTAACACTAGCTACTAACTCCCTCAATAACCCACATCTGAGCCCGCGGTTCTCACCTTCGGCTTGGATCGCACCAGGCTGGCCAGCGGGCTGACGAGCGCCAGCTGGGCGAGGGAGCGGCCGCGCGGCTCGGCGCCCCGGTCGGCCACCATCTGCTCAGCCACCCGGGTTACCTCGGCCATCTCGTCCGGAAAGCCGCGCGCGAACTGGCGGCCCGCGTGGAAATGGTCGCCCTCCGCGCTGCTGGGCCGCGGGGCAGACGGCAGAGACACCGAGGCCTGGCGGTGGGTGGGGTCAACGTCACTTCACCAATTGGCTTTTTTTTTTAATACCTTTTTATTAACACAATTCACATAAAACACAAACAAAAATAAGCATAAAACATTTTTTGTGCTCCCATCGGCGACCCGCCTGGGCAGGCCGGGACGGTGTCAATCCGTGACATGTGCCGTCCCGGCCCCGGGGAGAGCTGTGGGATCCCTCCCCAGCCGGGGAGATCTGATGGCTACCTCCCCGGCGCTCCAGGCGGGCCGCCAGCCCCCGCCCGCACCGCCCGGCAAGCAGCCCGCGGGCGGTGCCCCCTAACCACCGACCGGGCGAGCGAAGCGTCGACCCGTCGAGGTTGGCGCTCCGCACGCCCGGCCGGCCGACCGGCCCCTCACAGGAGGGGCCAGTCCCGGGTTGGCCCGGATGGGTCATAGGGGCGGGGGCTTGTAGCGCGCACATCGTTTTCCACTAACACTTTTTATAACAAACACCATATGCATACACACAAAGGACAGTCATTTTAGCATTGTGTATCATCGACACCTGACATTTGCCCCTTCCCCCCTTCCCATCGTAGAAAAAAAAAACTATACACATCATGTTGCACTACGCAAACATCGTGACACACAACAATAATTAGTCACAAAGTGTTTGTTTCATATCCTAAGGCGGTTACCTTTCTACACGCTCCGCTAAAGCGCAAAACAACGAGCCCCAGGTATCGTTGAAGTTCGTTTCTCGATCATTTATTTTATAAGCATACCTTTCTACTTTAAGATAGTTGTACAGGTAAGTGACGAATGTGGGCTCAGATAAGTGACTATTGCATTCCCTCTTATACCATATAAACTGTTTTCCCAATGAAAGAATAGTATTGATGCGCTTGCAGACCGCGGAATCGTTGTGCTCAAAACCGGTGACTACGGCTTTGTATGTAATATTGCGCCCGTTGAATAACTCACCAATACTGCTCCAAAAAGCCCTTACTCGGTGGCAATGCCAGAATAAATGTCCAATTGTTTCCAACCAATTGGCTTACTAACCCTGATGATTTGTTAACTAAAAAAAGCACCATGCGGAGAAATCATCACATGAAATTGCTGGCCGCATTTTATCAACGGCGTAACAGGCTAAAGGCTGAAACAGACTCTTTCTGCAGTCAGGAAATCGCATGCGAGGGCCTATTCTTATACATTATCTCACTCTCAAATCAATCGTACGCAGCTCCCGCATGTGATGGATGCGGGAAGGGTTATAATGTATTTGAATAGGCTCTCGCGTGCGATTTCCTGACAACGGAAATAGTCTGTTTCAGCCTTAAAAAGGAGACGTCTGCACAGTCAATGACGAAACTGGAACGGAAAAACTTAAATAGATGCACGCACGTCCCAAACGGCAAACATCGTACCACGCTGAGTTTCGCAGCCCGGCTCGTTCTCGAGAACAGGGCAGCCCACTCAGCCTGAGCACTCACGCAGCCGATCTCCTGAATCATCTTGAGCAGTTCGTTGCGGTAGACGGTGTCCGAGACGTACTGCCGTTCCAGCAGCTCCCAGTTGATGGCGTTACTCAACACTCCCTGACCGGGAAACGGAAAAACGTTACTATTGTTGACTGCATTGAAACACTACTCATCAGACGCATTTCTCGGTTCTGCGAGACTGAGATAACGGGCGCCACATTACAATTTACAAAAGCGGGATAGAATAATAGACAATACCACCAGGGGCCAGCGCCCCTGGTGGTATTGTCCGGTACACCATAGCATACGGCAAATGCTTACGCTGGTGAAGACGGCCGACGCTGAGGTCCAGGAGAGACACGGGACCAGCGATATCGGCTTGTGCCACACGGAGGCCGCCAGCGACGCCATCTGCCGGCGACAAAAGTATTTAAATTAGTAGCCGCCATCGGTAAAAGTCGTCTAGAAGATCGCTGGTCGATGCAGTCAGCTATGAGGAGAAATCGCTTCCTGGTACGATCAAATAGAGGCATTTGAGAAAATGAATAAGATTCCACCAATTATCGACACACAATGAAATGAACACATCTCCAAATGTTCATACTGTGCACTAAGCACTGGACTCATCTCAGGTTACCTAACATGCTATCCATTGGACATCGCTTCCTAGTCACTCCCTAATCCCGAATGTGCCCGTTATCCCCGACTCACGAGCTCGCCACGCCACTGTCTCAAGAGTCCACCCTTCCAACTCACGTGTCCGCCCATAGAGATGCCTGTGATGCCGAGTGGTCCGAGACCGCTGCGCTCTGCCCAGTGGAGCAGTGCCATCGACTCGAGCATCAGACAGCCGCCCATCACAAACAGGTCGGAGACGCTGCGCAGGCACGAACGGCTGCCGGTGGGGGGGGGGGGGGGGAGGGGAAAGTCAGCAGGGAGAGAGCACTGGATGGCGATGACTGACGTCCGAGCCCTCGATCTGTGGGCCGTGGCCGTCCTGGCGCAATGCTCAAGTTGACAATGTTGAGAAAAGGCGGTGCCAAGTTGAAACCGACAGACAATGGCCGAAGTTCTCGCTTCATTTTCCGTTGAATTCCGTTGGATTGAAATAAATCCTTCGTCACTATGACGCAAAAAGCATAGACGCGACGTCAAAGACGCCAAGTCGCGATAAACACGTAAGCGACAAACTTACACTTGCTCAGCCGGCTTCCGGAGGCCATAATACGGGTTTTCCAAGATTATGGAGCCAATGCCATCCCTGAGTAAAGGTCGCGCCAACAAACTTCGCCTCTTCCAGAAAAACTGCAACAACATGATAAGATGATGCTGTGAGCTTACTCTGGTAGATAACCCAAGTGATCACTGATTGCAGTGTCATTTGATCTGAGGTGAGACGTTATCAATCACCGTTCGATTAATTCCACCGAAGGTATCATAGAAAAAGGAACGATAAATTTTGTTAAACGTATGTTGGAAAATACCGAATTCGGTTAAAAATCCAGATGAGCCGGCTCTGGCACTCCGGTGCTCACATGGTCACCGGTGCCGGCCAGATGTATGACAGTGGGTCGCAGTCGGGTCGGCCACTGGTTGGGCAGCACCGCCTGGAAGTACGCCGGTTCAGCCACCTCGGGCAGCAGGCCGGGACAGTGGCGGCTGAACGGCGACTGGAACTGGCCCTCCAGTAGCGTGTACTCCTGATAGCGCTGCTCCTGTAAAAATTAGGCACAATCGGGTGGAACCTTGATGAATACATAATGCATATTTTGAGACTGGGTTGGGGCATGGATGATAGACTGACCTGCTACATACCAACGTGGTCTAGAGAGCTTCAATTACCCATCAAGCTGTTGGCAAAACAATATACATATATGTGCATTAGGCTGTGAACCTAAAAAGCATGTGAGACGCCTGCTATAAGAATACTAAAAGATCAGCAGACACATCACCAGAATTGCACTGTAAAGGGGCTCATCATTGCTAACCTTTGTTATCGTCACAGGATGATCACGATCCACGAGCTGCATGCACTTCTCTCGGTCACTCATGACCTTGCGGAACTGAAAGAGCCTCTTGAGGCTCTCTGGCTTGCCCCATCCTTTTGTGAAAAACTTTGTAAGAAGGATGGAACGGTAAATTCTGTCTGTTCTGCTTCCAGCCATTTCAGCTTCCTTCCATCTCAGTAGGTGGAACTATGGTCATGAGTACCCAAATATAGGAACGTTCCCATTTTTGGGAACGGAGTTCCCAAATATGGTAACGGGCGTTCCCATTTATGGGAACGGAAGGTAATTTTTCGGCCGTTCGCCCACTAAAACTCATTAGTGCATCACGTCTCAAAAAAGTGCACGCTAATTTAAGTATCTACTAAGTCTCTATAAAATTATCTTTAATCTGACCGTTGCACAAGGAAATTGACCGTCGAATGATATTTTTAATGATTTTTTGAAATGACGGAATGGTGAAAACATGGGTTATACTACATTTAACTTGCAATTTTAAGGAAAATGAAGCGTTTTTTACATTTTGAGGTCAAGTATAATAATTTTCGCCTGGTTATGAAGTTTCATACTAGCGACACCAGATGCTGACATATGCAAGCGAACACGCGGACAGTCCGGGGGTAATATTGGTGACATTTGGTGTCGGGGCGCACGACCGCATGGAACGTCAGTGATTTTACCGAACTACTGTTGTAAACTCAGTTTCAGTGGTTTAAAATTATTCAGCTGTATTTTATCATCCCAGAAAGATATATTTTTTTTGGATGCTAGCTGTTTAGAGTTGTTTTATAAGGAGCGTCATGAGCGTGGTTTTTGTCTTCCGTGTTTCTAAGCGTGATCGTTTTGGGGGAATTTCTCTTATATAGGTCGCTCTGTGTGGCTTATTTATAGTTTTTATGCTGATTTCGATCATTCCTCGTGCCCATCCTACCAGGCCTTTTGCCACTTACACTCATCAAGAAAGGAAAAAACTAGATTTTCATTGGGACTAGGTGTTTTGAGGGTGTAACATATTCAGCGTTCCCATTTTTGGATACTTCCTTGTGCTCGTCAACTATCGGTGATAAACAGACAGATGCTTGACATGTCTCCACCCTCGGCGCGGACGGTGGATATAGGTATGGAAGACCTTGTTGAACATCGCTGAGCGTTGTGAATTACGTATCCTGCAGAGGGGGGCGTGCCCGCTGCGAGATCGACGGGAATAAAAGCGCAGAAGACCGGGCGAAACATGCGACGGTCTTGCCGGAAAGGTCATCTGATGATTGTTGCGTTAACAATAATTTGCGGCGTTGGACGTGATGCTTGTTAATGAAAAGAGCCCCTGAAAGGCGTCGGTGAAATCGTTCCCAATTTTGGGTACGCCGTTCCCATAATAAGGAACGCTTGCAGCGCCAGTGTACGAGAGCGTTCCCAAATTTGGGCTCGCGGCCCGGATGATGGACTGCTTTAGAAATAGGGGAACGATTTGAAACTACGATGGGCCTTACAATATCAAACTCTTTCCCAACAATATTGAGACAAATATCAGGCGGTTCACGATCGTTTTATATTTTTTGGACGTCATTTAACGGTTCTTTTTCTTGTTTTAAATAATGCCTACATGGCGTTCCCATATTTGGGTTTATCGTTCCCAAACATGGGAACGAAAATGCGTTCCCGAAAATGGGTACGCTTGACCATAGTTCCGCCTACTGATCTAATGAAATGATGCTTGGAGATCACCCCATCTGATACTCAACTGTATTTAATCTGCAAATCCAAAAAAGCCTGCAAGTCACCTAACAAATGACAGTGAGGAATGGATCTATGGAAAATTAAAGCAATAGGCTACCAACAATATCCACCATAGACCTCTGAATACCGAGGTCCATGTCTATGATGTATCGATTTTCACACAAAAGTTCAGAAATCATGCAAATGATTAATTATTTGCATTGCCTGTGTCAGCTTCTTGTGCGCAGTTGCTGAAATGTCTTTCAATCTTTACAATTTGCTTCAAAAGGATCACAATAAAAGTACTCACGATTATTCTTAACTATGAATATATGCATGGCAGTCATACAGTATATAAACCGGAGGGACACGCCTAAGAGCTGGACTTTTTGATGACGTCTTCGGGTGACGTCATGTCGTGTGTGACGTTTCGTGAGCAGGTAAGGAAAAGTCACCACCGCTGGCGAACATTTGGTGCGGTAAATGGCAAACACAAATGCTGCGCAGAAAAGACAAATGTGTAACTTCAGACAACAGACGCGTTTACATAGGGTTTGTTGCAAGCTTATATCTCCGTCCGTGATGTTGCAAAAGATGCCAATGGTGCTTAACAATTTACAAAATGATCCCCTCTAAATATTTGAAGATCACTGCAACGAAATTATCGCCAAATTAACGAGCTAGAGCCTCGTCAAATATGCTATGTAAACCGGGTTAACATTCGTTCGGACGACAATGTCAAGGCGATTCAAGAAGTTCTTCATGAGATTGTTAGTTATCTGTCGTGCTATTTTAGTATGATTGTTATTAGCAGTTGAGTTGTGAAATGTATTATCAAAATCAATGTTAATTGAACGCAGATTCAATTTATTTTCAGATGTACCTAGGTACCCTTACACTTCACTCATCTCAAGCTGTTCAAACACCCTTGACAAAGTCTATTAAGATGAAACGTTGGGTATAATTTATACTGTGTTTTCTCTGCATTATTAACATATTCATCATATATACAATATAAGGGCCACATGCTTTTTACAGGGAGACATAACAGACAGCCCAGTAGGATGAGGCTTCGTCAAGCGTCATTTTTAGCAAAGCTTTTCTTGCTTAAAATCCAGTCTGCAAAACATGGCAGGGCTTACACTTTGGCTTACACTTGACTCCTAGCTGTTGTGTCTTTGCTATGCGATATTAAACATATAAAACATCTTACTATTCATGTATGCGCCATGACTCATGTAATCTTTTCACAGCCAAGACGCTCCTAAGGTACTGGGAATGTGGGGAGTGCAGCAGCATCAGTGCAGCACCGATGGTCGGATGCAACGGCTGCGATAAATGGTACCACTTCCGTTGTGCGGGACTGACTAAGGAGCCAGGTAAGCGCAAATGTTTTCTGTCTCAGTATTTTTGTTGCAGCTATAGTGATCAATGAAATATTTTCCGCACTGTTCAGCCAAACATGTATTTCAAACAATCTGCTTCCCAACCAAGGGCGTCGCCACAGGGGGGGGGGGGGACAGAGGGGATCTCGTCCCCTCCACTTTTTAAAATTTTAACATTACGCCTATGGCGTTGCATGGAAAGAATCGACTTGAAATGGTCCTCGTCCCCTCCAAAATGGTCAATGTCCCCTCCAGTCGTCGCACCGTGGCGTCGCCCCTGTTCCCAACTACACAAATTTAGTCAAACAATGTGCCAATATGGAATTTTCAGGTTCAGTTAAATGAAATAGGAACTATGATAATTGTAGATTACGTATACCTGCAAGAGAGGAAAACAGAATACATTGTATTGCTTGTCCTTCACCGATACTGTTATTTTTCCATTTCTAGAAACACCGACATGGCGATGCAGGTGGTACTGCCTGGTGAGGCCGCGGTCTCCGGAATCGCCTGCAGACGAAGTCACCTGGCGTCCATCTGCACATCACTTGCAGCAGTGAGGCCTGCTGACAGCGTCTGGCAGTGTCGGCAACGTGCCAGACACCTATCTGGAATCCTGCTCACCGCAGGTCGCCGACAGGAGGGGCGACGCATCGTCTCCGAGGTCGCCTCAGCAGCAGTGAGACCCCACTGGCCGTCTTCTTAGGCTTCAACTAGATTGCGAACAACCTATGCTGAGACAACGCCCATGACGTGTGATCCGGTACCGCTACCGCACTGCGTGCCTGTGCCCGCCGTGAGCCGCTAGTGCATGGGTTCGACCATGAGAATATGTGTTTATGTTGCTTTTACTATTGTTTATACGTTGAAGTGACGAATTGTTTATTTTTCGCAAGCCTCCGCTGTCCGGTTGCCTGCAGCTCCATGCAACGCCAGCTGTACTGTTGTTTTAATGTTGTCTCTCCGCTCAGCTGTACTGTTGCCTCTCCGCTCATAAGTCATAACAACCTATGCTGAGACAACGCCCATGACGTGTGATCCGGTACCGCTACCGCACTGCGTGCCTGTGCCCGCCGTGAGCCGCTAGTGCATGGGTTCGACCATGAGAATATGTGTTTATGTTGCTTTTTATACTATTGTTTATACGTTAAAGTGACGAATTGTTTATTTTTCGCAAGCCTCCGCTGTCCGGTTGCCTGCAGCTCCATGCAACGCCAGCTGTACTGTTGTTTTAATGTTGTCTCTCCGCTCAGCTGTACTGTTGCCTCTCCGCTCATATATGACACCCTCTATATGAATGGCACTACTGATTGTCACACCCACTGTCCGTATTGTCCGTAGTGGTGTCTACGCCCATGTTAATACAGCGTGCAGAATCCAGATTCTATTGAGGAGAGTTGAGCCAAGTCACCATAGGCTCGGGAAGAGCAACGTGGAGGCCCACTGCCCCTTCCCCGGCCCCCACTGGGGGCGCCAGCCACTCCAACTTTTGACTGGATGTCAAGAGCGTCGCCACGAGGGGAACGAGTCGCCGGCCAGCCAAGGTAGCCAACGGCGTGTGAAGGTTGCCTGACCTCGAGGAAACTGAGATGGCACCAACGGAGGTTTTGTTAAGTAGGCGACCAAAATTCGAGCGGCAGCAACCTGGGCACCTTCACAGATAGCAGTGCCGCGTATCAGGGCGCCTTCGACGTTGAGCTGGGCGCCGATCATCAGGACGCCGGGGGAATATGACCCAATATCCCCCGTAAATAAGTGCCTCGGATGGGAGACCCACCCATAAAACTGAAAGCTCGCCGTATTTTATCCACTATTTTTCGAGCAGGTCCATAGATTTCCGTCCTCAAAAGTGCGGGGATATTCCCCAGTGTTTGAGTTGGATGGGTCATGGGACTATAGTGGCGTTTACACCGACAGGAGATTCCCATTGCCGGCTGTGAGAAACTACTGTCGGTGTAAACGCCATTCATATTTCCTGCGTCACCCCTGTGGGGACGCCCTTACTCCATAGTGCCGAGCTTATCAATTTGGATATCAATGGAATCAAAATATCTTATCGATCGATGAAGAACTAAACTACCCCGACCCGGAGAGCGTCTTTGGAATCAAAGCAGTAGCACATGACGCAAGACTTCAGGCAAATAAATCCTTCTTGTCTGAAATAAAACATTTGTGTATTGATAAGCACGTTTTATAAGCAATGGTAGCAAGATTCTCCATGTATTTGGTTAAAGTGATAATTTAGTAGCAGATACTTACCGTCGCATTTCGTTTTTTTTTAATTAATAATTTATATTGTCAGAACTAGCAACATGTCTCTTCACTCAACAATAATTACAAAAGTGAAAAAGAAATGATAAATTGCTTATATTTTGGTGAAACTAAAAATTAATTCACCACATATTTTTTTTACAGCGTTGAAGTCCAGCTCCAAAGGACAGCTGACGATCGTAGCCGAGCAGGCTGTTTGGTACTTCTTCACTACTTCTTAGAAGTACCCGTTAGTACCGATCATGTCTCACATTATAAGCTATTGGAACAAAAATATCCATGTTCTTCTAATTATTCTCCTTTCACACTTTAAATAAATTCTTTTGAAATGCATTTACTAATTAATTTCACAAAAACGGCTTGAAATTTTATAACGTCAAAATACTTATTCCAATTTCCACCATGAAACCACCACCATATTACTTGCTTACAGATCCGTGCGCACAGTGCGCGCAGTTTTATCGTGACGTCAGAGGGTGCTTCCTCAGTGGCGCCCCCTGGCGGGGAACGCGTGCAAAAAGTCCAGCTCTTAGGCATGTCCAACCGGAGTTGATAATTACATTACAGGACGTAAAATATTTTAGTAATTTACAAACCGCAGATTACTTCTAAAATTTGGTAGCACTTAGAAAGACAAGGAATACGCAGCAGATTCGATATAACGTGTTCACTTGTAGAAAAATTGTACGTTAGTGTCTGCTTTTAGTAAACATCGACGAATCGCTGCTGCCCATACTGTAAAGGCCGCTCACCAAGAATATATTACGAACACTATTTTTACAATTGAAAACAATATGAGCTGTGAATTGTGAAAGTGATTGTGATAGTGTTGTGATTGCAATTTACAACCTAAAGCAATCACTCCACTTTTGTCACTTATTTTAACACGGAGTAATTAGCAGTGGCCTTAATTTTGGCTCGAGAGTTAAGCCATTGGAATGAGGTGAGTTGATCAACGACTCATGTCAGCAACTCAAATCATTGTTGAATTATGTAGGTAGGTATCTGTCAACTCAGTGACGGTAGATATTGTATTTCAATTTCAGCCCTTGATTTGATGGATAAATTGTGTTTTTTTCAGACTGCAGTCATGAGCTCAAAAATATAAATTTATAAATTTTGACAAACTTTTTATCTAATGGCTAATTGTGTGGATACCGAAGGGTTTGGTTTTAAACAATTGTAATTGGGAAAAATAATCAATTTGCATTGCAGTTCATCATTCATTTCTCTGACAGCTGATATTCCGGACGCCGGTGAAAACAGGGCACCGGAGGGCATATTAGTCACGTGACATTTTGAACTTGTCCCGCTCCATGGGCCTTCTATATGCCAAACGTCACGTGTAAATTTCACGAACCTTGATCAAATCGCCCCAGGCGCCCTGTTTTCACCGTCGTCCGATAAATTGTATGTGAATACGCA